ATAGAGACGTTTCATACGCCATTTTAAAGCTTGAGATAACCTTTACATTGTGTTAAAATTTGAAAACTTTCTGGGTTGTACGCAGCCCTGTAGAATCCTGTGAACACGGACTGTCCAGAACGAACCTGTGCAGGGGCTGTTTCTGGCAGTTTTTGGGAAATTAATTCCCGCTTCGTTTCTCAGTAAAATTAAGTGTATGATATGTCAAATTGAAGGTTGAGGTGTCTAGTTTGTTGTATAAAACTTTGAGAGCAATTGGTTTAGTGTATTTGCTGCAGTAATTCGTGGAGTGAGGGATGTTTGAAGCTGTTTTGGGGTTGGTTGGCAGTTTCGCTTGTCCAACTTCAAACGGCGATATCCGGAGCAAATAAGCTCTAAATAAAGAGTGTGATAGCTTCCTAGAGAGGTAATTGAGTGTAGAATAAGATGTCAAAAGATGATACGAACATGAAAAAAATTGAGAGAGTGTAAATGAATATACCGAACCATGTTCGGATGGGTGAAAAACGTAAAATCGAGAAATTAGCTAAGTGGGTTTATGGGAACCCCTTAGTGTCTTGTATTGAGTAAAATAAGATATAAAAATAGTTTAAACAAGTATTCCGCAAGAGTTTACAGTTATGGTCACAACTTTTAATTATTACGCTTTTTATTGTTTTAAATACTCGCGTAATAACGGAAAAAGTTTATTAGCATTTTTATAAATGAATTGCTGTGATTGTAACTGCGCTTAATATCATAATTAATGTTAACAATACCGGTGTACAACGGGCTGTTACACATCAAGTCCCTCACAACACATTATGGCCGAAATCTAGGGACCAAAACACATAGAATTTTTCCCACTTTGGGCTTCTCACTAATTCACCAAATTCATACTTACTCCAACACAATAGACCCTCTTAATATGTCAATTAAAATTTTGCACCATGAACCCTATTTTCCCCCATCATGGCCGAACCTAGGGAGATACAACACAAGGGAATTTTTTTCATTCAACACATGTACAATTGCTTATTTAGCGTTCCTATATCCCAAAACATCCATAATACATCATCAATGCAAGTTTTTAAACTAATTTAATTGCCACCCAAACATGCTCATAACTTTCACAACATAAATCACAAGACTAAAATCATAGGGTTAGAGTTTTGTTACCTCTAATCAACTATCCCAAGCCTAGAAGACATTCACCAAGCAAAGCTCCATCAAAAGCTCCATTTTTCACCTTTGATGAATAGTGAACCGAAAAGGGGGTGATGAATATCTCCTTCCACAAACGAAATCAGCTCAAATAGAGGGGTGGAATGGCTTCCTTGGGTGATTTCCTATGAGTTTGGTATAATGGGCCAAGAATTTGGTTGATGATTCATGAAGAAATCAAAAGAAATAAAAAAAACCCTAAGCTCCCTTGTCCATGGCTGCCGCGGGTTGGGAGGGGAAGAGGGAGAGAGAAAATGTGAGGGAATAGTGAACTTAAGTCACTTAAGGTCCTTTAAGCCCATGTGGCTTTTACCGGATGTTTTTTTATCGCGTATTTTAACTTAAACGGACCAGGAACTAACTTAAAGCTACGGACATATTTTTATTTTTTTTAAAGTCATTTACATTAATTTTTATTTCCTAAGGAACAATATTCAAAATTCACAGTATGGTTTCTGCACTGTTTTTGACGAAATACACTGTGAATCACTAACTATACTTCGTTTACTTACGAAACTTAAAACTTATAAACTTATCATTCTTGGGCCTATTTTGAATTGCTTGGCATATATTGGACTTTCTTATTCTTATTTCATCAATTATTTGCTTCTGGACTCTACCGGTTGCTTAAACAGCAGTACAAAATACCTGGTAGAAAACATTATTCACGTAATTTTCACGGAAAGTGCTAGACTATACAATTTTTCGTTCTGAACTCATATTTGGCGTCAGAATTGTCAAAATATGTTTCTAAAATCATTTTGCTCATTTAAGCTCTACCGGTTAATTCACAAGATTGCAAATTATCCGGCAGAACACACTATTCATAAACTAGTCATGATTACAGTCAAAGTACTCGAAATCAAGCTCTGAATCTAATTATGGCATTTAAATCCTTAAATTAAACCTCAAATTAAGATTTACAGTTAGGGTCATTATAAGATGCATCTTGTTAGTATAGGTAGTACCAATTAATTCTTATAAGCTATCCTTAGTTGTGCTGTCCTATACCAGCACAATCTCTGGAATCTCTCTTTTCGGTGTTATTCAATTCATTCATGTACCCCCGCCGCTAGAAGCCTGCCAGGAGCCGCTCCTTGTCCGTGCCCTTGCGCACCGGCGATCACTCCCCGCCCTCGTCAGCGCACGAGATGTTACATTCCCTTATGTCAGTGGTAATACATATACCGTAATCCCTGAGACATCTACTCGCTATAGCATAGATGCTCTCAATCTTTGCCACCAAACTTATATATCTTGTTCCCTTACTTGCTGCTTGTGCTAGTGGATAAGGGATTATGGACAGCAACACAATTTCATACATGAATTTTATTTTATTTTTTAATTCGCATTATAGATGTGTCATGTGTGGCGTATAATTGGGATAAGGAATCTTAAGTATAGATGAAAAGCTTCCTCTGACATGCATAAATAAAGACCACTTTCATATGTGTTTTGCCTGTGCAGATGCCCTAAAGTCAAAGTAATGTAATTTTTCTCTCTAGAATCTTGAGTTTGGGGACTATATCCATTAGTAATTACTTAGTCTTCAATTCTTGCTGCGTTAAAGTCTACTCACAGATTATTTATTAGACTACTCCAATCTAGTTTTCAAATGGCCCTTAAAAGATATCCTCAAAGATATATTGGTTACATTAGCAAGCCAAAGATATGCTATATAATAAAAGCTGCAACCAGCTAGCTTGTTTTCTCATTTCTGCATGCCATGATTTCCTACATCACCAAATGTGGATGGATCATGATGGATTCTTCGTTGATTCATATACAAAGAAACAATGTAGGAGGCTTGCCTCTTCATTTCTTGATTCCAATGTCATCATTATTCAATGATAACATGATATCTTATCTCAAGTTCAATGGTTTTGAATGTGTACTGTTGAGATTCTCCCCGCCACTGATGATGCCCATGGAGGAGTCATTATAGACTTGAAGGAGTCAATGAACTCTGAAGTTTTTGTTACTTTGCTTAGAACTTCAATTTCACAATGGAAGCAACAGGTGATTATAATGATATCTATGTATATATAGCTTTTGAATGATGATGTATTTGTTTCATTGATTAAGATTTATAAAATAAAATTCTCATGTGAAAATCAAGTGTAACTACTCTTCTAGCTTCCTTTTATCTTAACTCGTTCAAATTTCTGAAGTGTACACCCAACTAATAAGCTATTTGACTGATGTTCTGGTGAATTGTGTACAATTTCACGTTTTCTCAAAACAGTTTCTTAAAGCTTCATCCTCTGGCTTTTGGATTTCACTCCTAAGGCACCCTCTAGTATCATGTAGAGCTTGAAACTTGCATGCAAGGTCTTCCTCTCTTAAAGCCTCCAGAACTGATTGCAGAATCACCAAGGAAAATTTAGAAGAGAAAGATAAATTTTGAAACCAAGTGAGGGAATGAGGGAATCAAGAGTGAAACCATGAGAATAATTATATATTTTCCTATGAGAATCCTCCTAGTTACTAAAGAAAAAATATATATCAGTAGCTATCATAGGATGATTCATGCTCTCTGTTATGTATATAACCTTTTTCATTACCAAAATAAAAACAAGTTTTGTTCATTATCAATATGCAAGGTCCTTTTCTTTTTCATTAATCTACTGATACTCTCTCACAATAAGAATATAAATGCCTAAAAGTTGGTTGAAGATATGTTCAAAATGTTTATGGAAAGGAGCTATTTGTGAATAATGTAAATGGTTAAAATTAGTTATAATTTAAACAAAATGTTATATTTAATTTGTTGTGATGATGATTCATTAATGTATTAAAAATACGTATTAAGTTGTTTGGTAATGTTATAACATGTTTAAAAAACTTTAGAGCTTTTAATTGAGTTACTTAATTAGAGTTAGGTTAAGAATTAGCACTGCTTTGTTAAACATAACTTATAAAAGGCTTTTCAAATAATATTATTAGATGAAAATGCCATTGCACATAGAAGTGATAGAACCAAACCCACCCAAGTCCCAAGGTGTGTTTTAACACTCATTCAAATTTTTATAATATAAAATTATTGATGTGACGTTCACCTAAAAATTTAAATTTTTAGGTGAGATAATTGTTTACATTAACAAGTGGTCATGAATTTGATTATTACTACCTTCATTCTGTTAATAAATAATTAAATGTTATAGAGTTTCTTAATATAGATAGATGAAGCCTTTGCATTATTAACTTTTTAACGCCAACAAACTCTTATGTGAAGGATGTAGAAAGATATTATATGAAACCATTAACCTTCAACCATTATATGCTGTGAACAGCTTAAATTTTTAAAAAGATGGGAAAATTCACTTACAAATTAATTTAATATCTGCAAAAAAACATGGCTGTGTCGAGGGTGAAACTTAGACAGTTATTTTGCCCATAATAGGAAACAATTTATCTCAAAATCTCAAGTACCATGTGCTCTCAAATTTCATGTGCTGCTAACTTAGCTGTTAAAACTCTATCCCAAAAAAAGAAAAAAGAAAAAACTTAGCTGTTAAAAGATATAATATAAAATAAAAACATGTCATAATTTATTAAAAAAAACACATTTTTTCATTTTAATTTTTTTTTGCAAAAATTAAAAAATTAAATTGTAATTGCCCCAATATTATGTAAAAGGTTCAAATCTTCTAGATGACAATGACCTAAGCCTAATATGATGGTCCTTTAGCTTCACATCGGTATAAGGCCACTCTAGACCTTAATGAAAAATTTGTTTCACCATGATAATATCATTGCACTAAGAGTGACATATTCTTTTAAGGCAATAAATTCAGTGTTAAACAAACAAGTACATCAGTAATCCTACAATTGATAAATCATTTCAAGATTTTTCCTGAGCCACTATAGATAATTACCAAGCCATCTAATTAATGGGATAGTACTTTTAGCTCATAACATGGAAATTTTATTTAAGGAACAGTTACAACAATATTCATTAAAGATTCAATGAGCACGCTACATGTTGTTGTGAATCAGCCTTTGATGGAGTGCATGGCTTTACCAATTGGCACCATCTGCATCCCGTGCCTGGTAGAAATCATTTGGCCGAACAATGTTGACCTCCTCAAACTCATTATCATCTGGAAGCAACAGATGAATAACTTTTCATATTTTGTTTCTGAAAAGCAAAAGTGTGCAGGCACATGCAAAATGATTTCCTCTAAGAAATGATGCTGTCAAAATGTAAATTCAGGATTATCTAGAACAAATAAAGAGGGTGGGGGAAATAGGATAAACTGCATATATATGCCAGATGCATGCTTGTAAAGATCATCTCAAAGATACAAACATCCCTGTGTCCTTTTTTTTTTTAGGGGGGAAGGGAGGAAGACTATTTCATAAAACCCAGATCAAAAGTTAAAAGGATCATCAAGATGGAAATTCAGAAGACCTTAAGGAATTTCCTCAATTTGCTTTGTTCCTATCAGTAATCGCTTATGTAAGATATTCCCGTGTTTGTGAATTATTACTCCGACAAGACAATTTCAATTCCATGAAGAATGAGTCCAATCAATCATATGACAAGGCTCAATAAGGCATACCATGTACGCTATCAAAATCAAACTTGAACAAAGGAAAATCCTGCTGTAATGATTTTGCTGAAGTTATAAATTCTAAACAACCATAGCATGCTAATTACCGATAACCTACGTTGCACCGACACCGATACGGGACACAGGATACGACACGATATGACACTCCGACACGTTAATTCTAAAAAATATGAAATTTCGATACATTAGGACACGTTTTGATATTATATAATATTTTTAATTTATGTAGTGTATATTATATTTAATATTCAATAATTTAATAAAAAAAATAAAGCTACACTTATAATATCCATCAATCCCAAATATTTATATTAAACTCAATAAAATGGTAATCGTAATTCAACGAATCTAATAGTTAGAATTCAAAATGCAACCCAACGTAATCTTTGAATCCTTTTTTGAGTCTTTGCAACGAGTATTGAAGTGTCGGGAAGTGTCGGACACGACACGTCGAGTTTTTGAAGTGTCGGTGCTTCATAGCCGATAACAATTACTATCTACATATTGTTTTCAGTTGGGAATAACATACAGCCAAAACTGAGATTTTGGTTCCTCCGATAAAATTGACAAGACCATATTGTGACTGCTATTTTCAGAATGAGAATAAGAAAAGAATTTCATAATTCAGAACCAGAACTTCATAGGTTAAAAAAAATAAATGTGAGAAGAAGCTCATTAGAAGAATGCATTTCAATGGAGTTCTATTTGGGAAAAAAAGGAATTTAATGATCAATGGCATCAGACCGTTGTATAATAGATAAAGAGAAGTCAATACCAAAGAAACAGTCCCATTAAAGGGAAAAGAGTAACAAGCTAGGCTTTTTAACCCTTTTACCTTTCATTAATTAATTAATAACCATTTTGCCCCTTATTCAAAACTATCTACCCATCTACCCCTTTTTAATCGATTAACTTGAATATTTAATCGATTAAATGGTCAAAACAGGAAAAAATGGTTGACTCGAAATTTAATCGATTAAATCTCCCTATTTAATCGATTAAATCTCCCAACAGGCAACAAAGGTCAAATCTCCTCCATAAACAAAAGCAGATCCATGCATATGAAGCAAATCAACAAGCATAGGTAACCAACAAACAAAGAAACCAACAAATTCACCTCTTGATGAACAAGGAAAACTCGATTGTTGATTTGCTTATCACCTCTACAATACGGTATCACCTCCCACGGGTCCTCCATTGATGGCTTCTTGGCCAGGTATTGTTAATTCCTTTAACTCTCCATCTCTTTTTTTTGTCTTTGCTGAATTTCACTTTCAGCTAAGCTTTTTTTCTTTCTGAGATTTTGATTATGGAATTCCTGTTCTTTATTTAATTTCAATTCTTCGTTTTCCCTCCAATTCTAGGGTTTAATTTGTGCCAAATTTTAGGAAATCGAACAATTGAGAACTTACCAAGAGGTGAATCTGTTGATTTCTTTGTTTGTTTGGTTATCTATGCTTGTTGATTTGCTTCATATGCATGGACTCTGCTTTTAGTTACGGAGGAGATTTGACCTTTATTGCATGTTGGGAGATTTAATCGATTAAATCTCGAGTCAACCATTTTTGTCTGTTTTGACCATTTAATCGATTAAATATTCAAGTTAATCGATTAAAGAGGGACAGATTGATGGATAGTTTTGAGTAAGGGGCAAAATGGTTATTAATTAATTAATGAGGGGCAAAAAGATCAAAAAGCCTAACCAGCTATGATGTCACAATTCACAATATAATATAAATAGTTAATTTACAATAGTGAGATAAGGCATGGTTGTACAGTTTTAGTGAAACATGGGAACGGAATGCAGCCTAAAACTACTTACACATGATATGACAATGAACTAGAAAGCAACCTTTTTTGTTTGAGTGGAAGAGGAGAGAGATTTCTATATTAAACGATAAACCATGTCAAATAATTATCTGCATTGCAGACAAGTACCTAGAATATACTAAGAAGTTATTAAAATTAATTAATGAAGAGGAGAGAGATTTCTATGTTAAACGATAAACCATGTCAAACCATGTACAGGAAAAAGCTAAATGATTAAGTTATTAAAATTACCAAAAGCTCATAATCCTCCAAGAAGATTAGAGTTTCTTTTGTAGCCCTAGAATATACTAAGAAATTCCTGAACTACCCCACAAATACCTGACTTTGGCCCAAAATTTTGAGGACTATTACAGTATTACGACTTTTTGAAACAGTCCATAATTACTGCAATTCCCTAGAAGGAATGACATAATTCAAAATTAATCTAACAAAAATCCAGGATGACCTGAATAGTCTATCCTATGGTCAAAATTGCAGAATCCTTCAAAGAACAACATAGTCAGAGGAAAAGGATAATAATATACACATCACCTTTTCTCAATGTCAGTGCAACAACAGCATCATTTTCAACCTGAACAGTAAAAACAAAAGAAGCTTTTTATAGGAAATTGTCAACATATAGGACAATTAAGTATAAAAAAAAAAGTATAAGCTATATGAGGAGCAGGCAGTATTTTTTGGCTAGTTAGCAGTTAAGAATAGATGTAAAAAGACCCAGGTGTTAGATATCTTCTAAATGCTAACATTAAAAAAAATACAAATACAAATACAAATCACATAAAGCATGATGCGAGAGTACCTTTTGATCTGCCAGAGTTTTAGAGTCCTCTAATACATCCCCTGTATCAGGTAGAATTAAACGTTGATTATTAGCTGGTTGATCAATGAGTTCTTGCAACTTCTGCTTTATGTCAAGAATTTTATCAGATGGCTTGCACCGGATGAAGTATGTTGTTTTAATACGCTTAACACGAATGTACATATCCTGTGATGAAATGATAGTTTAGTTCACTCCAAATATCTGATAATGCATAATAGATACTATTACAATATGTATTATTTTCTTTTTTACCTTTATTCATGTGCTGTAACTAATTGGTAGATATTTTTGTGTGCTGTAACTAATTGGTAGCTGAGCTGGACATCATTCTGTTAGGTATTATTTTGTGCGTGTATGTAGTTTTTCATTCTGTTACAAAACCCTCTCTGTAATGGCTAATATAAAAAGCCTCTTGTACTCACTCTAATCAATTAATGAATTCCAAAGATGAATATTCAGTTTATATCAGAGTCTCATCCTTTCATAACTAATATGGTATCAGATGAATTTCTTTGATTTTTTCTGCCATTTTTAGATGGCTCGTGGCACCAATCGGCCACCACCAACCGATTCCTCTTCTGCACATTCAGGAACATCCGCTCCCATGGATGATTCCTCCAGTCCCTATTTTTTACATAGCAGTGACCATCCTGGTCTTGTTTTGGTTTCTAATTGTCTTTCTGGATCCAATTATAATTCATGGAATCGAGCAATCTTGCTTGCTTTAACTGCCAAAAACAAGTTAGTTTTTGTTGATGGATCTCTTCTTCGTCCTGCTTCAACTGATCTGTTGTTCTCCGTTTGGAATCGTTGCAATTCCATGGTTTTTTCTTGGCTGTTGAACTCGGTCACCAAGGATATTGCAGATAGTTTGCTCTACTTCACTACTGCCTATGAAGCTTGGGCTGATTTGAAGACACGATTCTCTCAAGCAAATGGTCCTCGCATCTTCCAACTCAAACAACAGATCTCCTCTCTTTGCCAAGGACCTTTGGACGTCAATGGCTATTACACCAAACTCAAGTCACTTTGGGACGAATTACTTGATTACGCTCCTCTACCACTCTGTACTTGCGGTGCTCTTCGTCTCATCCACAATCATAGAGAGCAGGATCATGTCCTTCAATTTCTCATTGGGCTCAATGATTCCTATGCTTCCTCGCGTGCTCAGATTTTACTCATGGATCTGTTACCTCCTCTTGCCAAGGTGTTTTCGCTGGTTCTTCAAGAGGAGCGCCAACGTCAGTTGTTTGTTTCCTTACCATCGCCTGCCATTCCGGATTCTCCACTTTTGAATTCGATACACACCTCACCGTCGCCGTCTCCGGCTGTTTCTTCCCCTTCTGCTACGGTGGCTGCCGTCCAACGTCGCCGCCCCGTTTGCACTTACTGCCATCTTTCGGGTCATACCCGTGAGAAATGCTTCAAGTTAAATGGGTATCCTCCTGGTTACAAACCCAGGGTACCCAGGCCCAGCCCATTATCAAACCCAACCCAACCGTCAGCCCAAGCCTATTCTGCTGTTTCTGTCTCACCTACCTCTCCTAATTTTTCCAATCCTCACCAAGTCACGAACCCTAATCTCCCTGTCTCAGACTCACCGCTTGCTTTTACTCCATCACAATACAATCAGCTGGTTTCTCTTCTACAACAGAGTTCTGCACTTCCCCTTCGGTCACCAACGTCTTCTGTTCCTGACACTCCTCCCTCCGTGGCCAGTTTCAGTGGTAAGACATCTCTCTCTTTCCCTCCGTCTTGTTGGATTTTAGACACCGGTGCTACGCACCATGTTTGTGTCACGCTTAATCTCTTTGTTTCTTCCTCTTCTTCTGCTTCTCTGGTCTCGTTCCCTAATGGTTCCTCTGCTGTTGTGTCTTCGGTGGGCTCTGTTAAGATTTCTGATTCTCTTGTTCTTTCAAATGTATTATTTGTTCCAACTTTTTTCTTCAATCTGTTGTCCATCAGTGCTTTGACTCGTGATTCCCCAGTCATTGCTAATTTCTCTTCTTCTTTTTGTTTCCTTCAGGACCGTGCTTCGGGAAGGATGATTGGGATTGCTAGACGTCATGGCGATCTCTACCTTTTGGATAGTAACAACCTTTTTCCCCCTAATCATGTTCCCCATCCCCTTTGTTTTTCCATTTCTGTAAACAATGCTATTCTCTGGCATTCTCGTTTGGGACATCTTTCCCATTCTGTTTTAAATTCCATGAAGCATATTTTGGGTTTTTCTGATGCTTTACATACTGATCATTTGTGTACTGTTTGTCCTTTGGCGAAACAAAAACGCCTCCCTTTTATTTTAAATCCCCACCTTAGTGCATCATCTTTTGATTTGGTCCATTGTGATATATGGGGACCTTTCAGCACTGTATCTGTGGAAGGATCTCGTTATTTTCTAACCTTGGTTGATGATTCAACCAGGTTCACTTGGACCTATTTCCTGAGTAATAAGTCTGATTTTTTTGTTGTTTTTCCTGTTTTTTATAATTTGATATTTACTCAGTATAAAGTTTCCATTAAATCCCTTAGATGTGACAATGCTCCTGAGTTCAAATTGTCCTCCTTTTTTTCTGATAAGGGTATTCAAATCTTTCACTCATGTGTTGACCGTCCCCAGCAGAACTCTGTGGTAGAAAGGAAACATCAGCACCTACTCAATGTAGCCCGTGCCCTCCATTTTCAGTCCAAAATCCCTCTCCCATATTGGCAAGACTGTGTTCTTACAGCAGTATATCTTATTAACCGTACCCCATCTCCCCTTCTTGATTCCAAAACTCCTTTTGAATTGCTGTGCCATAAACCCCCCTCCTACACTCACCTACGAGCCTTTGGATGTCTATGCTATAGTTCCACACTTCCAAAGACTCGCCACAAGTTTTCACCACGTGCTCTGCCTGCTGTTTTTCTTGGTTACCCTGCAGGATACAAAGGTTATAAACTCTTGGATTTGGCTTCAAATAAAATATTCATTTCTCGTGATGTTATTTTTTATGAGCACATTTTTCCCTTTACTCTAACCAATATACCCTCTTCTTTCCACACTGAATTTTCCCAATTACCTCCTGCCTTCACTCCTCATACAAATTCCTCCCCTTCTTTTATTTCCACAAGACCTTCACGGGTTAGGCATCCTCCTTCCCATCTTTCTGACTATCTCTGTTCCTCTTCCACAACTCATCCCTTGTCCCAATTTATTTCTTATACCCGACTTTCTCCCTCCCATTATGCCTTTGTTAATTCAATTTCATCCATTTTTGAACCTGCCACTTATTCCCAAGCATCCCAACTTCCGGAATGGCAGGCTGCTATGTCTTCTGAGCTGACAGCTCTTGAAGCAAATTCTACTTGGTCTCTTGTCTCTCTCCCTACAGGTAAGCAGGCTGTGGGTTGTAGATGGGTCTATAAAGTGAAATACAATTCAGATGGTTCAGTTGAGCGTTATAAAGCTCGCTTGGTTGCTAAAGGTTTTAGCCAACAAGAAGGGATTGATTTTTTGGAAACCTTTTCTCCTGTTGCTAAAATTTCCACTGTCCGTGTTCTTCTTGCCTTGGCTGCAATTAATAATTGGTCCCTCACTCAATTGGATGTTAATAATGCGTTTCTTCATGGTGACTTGCTTGAAGAGGTCTATATGACTCTCCCCCCTGGATATTCTTCTCTGAATCTGCCCACTAATGTTGTTTATAAGCTGCACAAGTCAATTTATGGTCTTAAACAGGCTTCACGGCAGTGGTTTGCCAAATTTTCTGCCACTTTATTGCATCTTGGTTTTTCACAATCTCACTCTGATAATTCTTTGTTTGTTAGGCATTCTTCTACTGCCTTCATTGCAGTTTTAGTCTATGTGGACGATATTATTATTGCCTCTAATAATATTGCAGAAGTTCAATTGCTGACAGCTATGTTACACAGCAAATTTAAGTTGAAAAATTTGGGCAACTTGAAATATTTTTTGGGGTTAGAAGTTGCACGCAGTACAAAGGGCATCTCTGTTTCTCAAAGACATTATGCTTTGGAAATACTTAAAGACTCTGGGCATTTGGGTTGTAAACCCCGTTCCACTCCTCTTGAGGTTGGTTTAAAGCTTTCTTCTAATGTTGGTGAGTTGCTCTCTGATCCCTCAGTATATAGGCGTCTTATTGGCCGTCTACTTTATCTCACTATTACTCGGCCTGATCTTGCATATGCTGTTAATTATCTTAGCCAATTTATGGCCAATCCACGTGAACCTCATCTCCAGGCAGCATATCGTCTTCTTGGATATGTTAAAAATACAATTGGTCAAGGTCTATTTTTCTCATCTTCTTCTGCTCTTCAGCTGAATGCTTTCTGTGACTCGGACTGGGCTGCATGTCCTGACAGTAGACGTTCGATTTCTGGTTTTTATGTTTTTATTGGTGACTCTTTAATTTCTTGGAAATCCAAGAAGCAACACACTGTTTCCAGATCCTCCACTGAGGCTGAATATCGTTCTATGGCTCATGTCACTTGTGAGCTGTTATGGTTATTTTCTTTATTCAAGGATCTTCATTTTTCACACCAAGGACCTGCTCATCTCTTCTGTGACAACAAGTCTGCCTTGCATTTGGCAGCCAACCCTGTTTTCCATGAACGCACCAAACACATTGAGATTGACTGCCATCTTGTTCGTGAGCACATCATCAAAGGCACCTTGAAGACTTTTCCAGTTCCTTCATCCAAGCAACTTGCTGATATCTTCACCAAGGCTTTGCTGCCATCCAAGTTCATTGCTTTATTATCCAAGATGGGAGTCTTAAATATATACTCTCCATCTTGAGGGGGCCTATTACAATATGTATTATTTTCTTTTTTACCTTTATTCATGTGCTGTAACTAATTGGTAGATATTTTTGTGTGCTGTAACTAATTGGTAGCTGAGCTGGACATCATTCTGTTAGGTATTATTTTGTGCGTGTATGTAATTTTTCATTCTGTTACAAAACCCTCTCTGTAATGGCTAATATAAAAAGCCTCTTGTACTCACTCTAATCAATTAATGAATTCCAAAGATGAATATTCAGTTTATATCAGAGTCTCATCCTTTCATAACTAATAGATACCAAAAAATAATGAGAGCTGCTAGGATGGATTTCAATTAAAAAAACAGCAACAAATCCCCATCTATATTATGAGTAGGATTGGCATTAACATAACCCTGAATGCTTATAATGGATCAGAGTATGTGTTGTATAATCGAACATGATATGATGTTAATGCACACCAGGAAAATGCCTCTAGAAATTGATTATGAATTCGAAAGAAAGCAGGCAATCATCTTTTTCACATACAAAATAGCTACCATGGTGCACGATTCAACCAAAGTACTCCAATTCTTATCGTTAAGAAAATGAAATTCAAACAAACTTAAACAAGCTATAAATATCTTCATGATCACCTAACATCACTATAAACATCTTCATGATAGCCTAACATAACTACCATATAAAATCCAAGGATGTCTCAAGGCTCAAGAACTAACACACGGATTGAGTAAAAGAGGGTAATTTGACATGCAATTTTTTTCATATTTTCCTTCTCATGCAAGCACGGCAAAGACAACTGTGTTTACTAATTCCTTCGCTTTTTTATCACTCTTCCCAACCTATTAACATAAAAGAAAAGAACTTTCGATTGTCTTTTATAACAATTCTTACCACTTTACCTCACTTTACTTGGAATAAATTCAAAACAAACACTAAGTCAATACTTAACTTTCAATTGATTTCATCAACCCTCCCATAGCTTAAACATAGCAGCATTCTCCAACATCATAAACACGATTGTAACTCAATTTTCTCATGCCAAAGCCATTTAAACGGTAATTAACAAACACAAAATAACAACATTCGAAAGAAAACAGCACAGAAAAGTGATGCACATACCATTTATTATGCTTCGGGTGTTTCTCCCTCGTAACGAAATTTAAGGGTGCTACTACAGTCCACAGAACTGAAAGTGAAACAATAAAAAAAAAAATTAAAATTAAAAAATAATTATATTTTAATACTTCGATTTTCAGTGTAATGAGGAACTTTTGGGAAAATTACTTGACAGGGGGAGTAATTCATATCAACTTTGAAGAGAAATCGGAATCTAACATTTGAATTTGCAAAAAAAATAAAAAAAATAAAATGGGATTTGGATTGTACCTGGAAAACTGGTGAATTTTTGAAGTGTGAGATTCCGAAGAGGTTTTATCGGTCTCACTCGTTCACTGAAGCACGCTTCATCAGTTATTCACGCTTTGGTCGGTTGACAATTTTTACACAAAGTATTTATTTATTTATTTATCAGAGTAATATTTTTACTACCAATAAAATCTATTATCAATTCAATACTTATTTAATTATTATTGGATTAGAATCTTTTCTCTCTTAAAAAATTTCAACATTTTATGTGATGCAATGATAATTAAAAATCTGTTTGGATGTCTGTTTTTAAGAAAAGCAAAAGTCATAAAAAAAATAAAAAACTTACTTTTTTTGAAAGATAAAAATTTTAGCTTTTAAAAAAAACAGAAATTAAAAACTAAATATTTTTTTCAAAAATTAAATATTTTTTTAAAAATCTAAATAGCTGTAATTTTTATAGAAAATACTTTTAAAATAAAGAAGTCGTACAAATGACTTTCTTAAAAAATCAATACAAACGAGCTCTAAATAAATAGTAAATTGGTAGTGATTTTTTTATAATAAAAATATCACCCCTTTTACTTATTGATAGATGAGATATTAAATAAATGTCCCTTTATTTATTTTATTTTTGGTTGAGGTCATGATTCTAGGTAGCTGCACACGTTGACAAATGTCCATGTCGATTCTTGAATATGGGCCTTGGGCCTGACGAAAGTCACGAGTCCAAGGTAACCTAGCCCAGAACAAAATACATTAAGTAAAACGTAAAGCCCATTTACTTTGGTGAGTAGATTTAAGATTAGATTTTTTTTTTAATTGAATATGATTAACAGTTGCAAGTAGGGTTATAAATGGAATGGACAAAGTTATACTTTGGTTTACATAAATTAAGCCTAAGCAAAATATTTCGAACCTGACCTAACCTATTACTCTGATGTAGGTTACAATATAGGCTTAATTTGACCTATATTTAAAAATTAAAATGTCTAATCTAAGTCTATTAACTTTTTTAGGTCTATCAAACCTCTAATAACTATCAAAACTAAAAAGTATATATATAAAATAATTTTTTAAATTAAAATTATATAAATAATCATTTTAATTTATTTTAATTAAAATAAAAAATACCTAATAGATTGGTCTATAGGCTTGTAGGTCAAGCTTTGTAAAAATAAGTCTACAGCCTATTTTTTTAAACAAGCTTTATTTAAGGATTAATCATGTTCTATATTATTAAATATACTAGATCAAGTTTGATCTAATGTAGGACAAGCTGTAGATCCCTGGTAGGCCCCTGACTCATTTACATCTCAAGTTACAAAACTAATTCTAAGAGTGGTAAGTAGATAAAATATTCTCTGCAGTAATGATTTCAATTTTGGTTAAAATTTTAACAAAATATAATACCGCCAATTTTATAATATATATGTTTGATTTATCAGAAAAATATTTTTACAGTTACGGCAGATAAATTATCTGCATTTACTCTCAAGACGATGTAATTTTGGTATTGAAATATTAAAAAATTATAATAAAAAGAGTATTATAAACCTGAAATAAATTAAAATTATAAAAATACTTTGATTTTTGCTTCAAAACGATGTCGTTTTAGACTCAATGCAGATAATTTATCTACATTAACTGCAAGAAAAAATGAACCCTTGATTTATATATGTTATCTAATATCTATTATGCATTTCACGTAAAACTTAATCCTTTTCTTTCTTTTTCTTTTTTAATATCTCCATTTTGAATGACAATAAATTTGAGTTTTGAAAGATAACGAGATTAAAAATCATCTAAATAGGGCTAGGGGGTTATTTTTCCATCACTACCCCCCCCCCCCCCCCCCCCCCTTTTTTTTTTCCCTTCTATGTCCAAACAATATATGAAATTTAATGATTAATATATATTATACCAAAAAAGAAATTCTTGTAATCAGTAAAAAATAAAAATCAAACGAGCAAGCGCAAAATGCTAATAACTTAAATATTCTATGCATATAGATTTGAGCATAGCCTGGGATTTGATATCTGATGAATTCCTGGTTGAACTTCATGCCTGAGAGAGAGGTAATTGGCATAGCTAGCAACATAAATAAATTTATGCACTCAATAACGACCTAACTATTGCAGTTTCATCGAGAGTTATAATGCACTAGTTTCATGAATGGGGTCGGGAACTTGTTCTCTACGTTTCTTAAGTATTTATCATACGGATCAGAATCTGACATTTTTGGGAGGAAGGAAAGCTTAGTTTGAATGCACTAGAAGAAGCAAGGACGATTGGTAGAAACTCCAAATAGGGTGAGTTTGGATGGGGAAGAAATGAGAAAAATGGAAGGTTTCATGTAACTTCCTCTTTAATTTGGAGTGCCAAAAAGGATTTTCCCGCATATGACATAACGCATGAGCTGTTGTTGGTAAAATAATACAACTTAGGAGTTCGGACTGATTCATTTTTTATAAGGTTGACAGAAATCTACTTCTATATATTAAAAATATAATTAGAGTTTATTTTTTTATAAAATAAAAATAGCAAAAAAAATTTATTTTATATTCTCTTAAAGATTGAAACGTACATTCTTAACTTATCTTGCTTTACATTTTATATTTAAATTCTGTTAAATTAATTGTACATATCTTCGTTATAATTTTAAACATTTTTCTCTTTCTATTTATATTTCTTAAATTCTATTTAAAATACTTATGCATATTTCTTTTTATAATTTTAAATATTTTTTCATGTATATATTTTTATATTCTACTTAAATTTTATTATGCGTGTTATGTTAGTGTTTTTCATATTTTATTAATTTTAGGTGTCGTAAGAATGTAATGACTCGACAAATTATGTTGTTTGGAAATTAAATTAAATAAATGGAGTCGCCAATAATTATCTTTGAATTATGAAAAATTGGAAAAAAAATCCTTTTACTTTGCTAATTAATCTTTAATAATTTAGATCGAGGTGCAGAAGTTTGATTGTGCACAAAATATGATGAAAACTTAATTCTACAGTACCCCTAATACATAAGTTGGTAATATGGGTTGAACCCGCCATGTCAACTCGCTAATACGTCAAAATGGGTTGGATTGGGTTGAGGTTTTTAATCCACCAACTCACTTCAACCCGTCCCGCCGTCTAGAAGTGGGTCAAAACGGATTCAACCCGCCGTGGGACGGATTGACCCGCCGGGTTATAATTATTTTTTTTTTTTTACAATTAGGCAGTATTTCATTTGTCATTAAATTTTTGTTATATCCCAAAAAAAATTATCTTAGTACTTCCTAGAAAAATAAAGAATGATAATTTTATTTATGACAATTTTTTTTTTATATATGGAGACAAATGAGTTCCTAAATAATGTTTGACAAATATTAGTATACATTTAAGATTAAGACTGAAAAAAATTAAGAGAAGTGCGAAATAAAATAAAATAATATTAGAAAATTCATAAAATATAATTTATTTTTGAATTTTAATTAATTTTTTTAATTGACGAGTTGGTGGGTTGACCCGCCAATCCACTATAAAACGGGATGAGTTCATTTTTTCAGCCCATATTTAATGGCAGGCCAACCCGTCCAGCCCCGTTTTTGGCGGGTTGAGATGGGTCGAGGCGGGCCAACTCAAATTGTCACATTTAATTATACAGCCACTAAAAAGGGTTACTTTAAATTAATTGTGCAACTTTTTTAAAAACATTAAAAAAAAAAATTGCTTAGCCCATAGACAAAAATAATTAGAAGGACTGCATTATTATATTTTTATATTTTGGCTTGACAAAAAAAAAATTCTCACTGCGACATATCCTCAGGTGAAATATAAAACTCAAAGTTACATCATTCTTAATAGTTGAAGATAAATTATTTTTAAAACATTCGTTAATAAGTTCACCAGTTTTGAATCATGAAGCTATTACAATTAAATTAATTTTCAACGAAGGTCACAGAGTTAACAAGCAGTTACAATTAAGTCAATCATTTTGGATAAATTAATTTTAGCCTTATTATATCAATATAAAATTTATGATAAGTTTAAATAGGTTATCAAAGTGTCACAACTAAAATGACTCCAAACATTATAGGACCAATAAGTCATCCCGACTAAGTTACCCATTATTAATAATAGATTATTTTTTGATAATTGATAAAAAGTTAATAGTTTATTATTATCATTGCTATTGTTGTTATTATTTTTTCTATGTCCTTATCGTTATTATTATTTAAAACAATGTTTGAATCATTAATAGATGATCGCGGGTAAAAATTAAAATGACTCTACATAAAAATTATAGGGTTAGCAAGTTGTCACATCCCAGCCAACCTTTTGATTGCCCTTTATATTTTTTAAAGCGACAAAAAATGAATAATTTTATAACTTCAAATGCTCACAATTTGTTTTGTGGTATTATTGTTTTTTATTATTAAAAATAATTTTAAATTATCATATTATCGCAGTCAAAATGACTCTACATAAAAACTACGAAGTTAGCAAGTTATCATAACTCCTAGTGATGTGGGGTGTGTGTTAGGAGTGTGTGTAGTGTAGGGTGTTGTGTTCAATTTCTTGTAACTTCCAAAAAAAGCAAGTTATCATAACTCAATCACCTTTTTTATTATTAAAATAAATAAATAAATTAATTTATATATGAAATTTAAAATATATCACAGTGAGTAATTTTAAAATAGATTGAATCATCAAACTCTCAAAATTAAAACGATTTCAGTTTACCAAAAAAAAAAAAAACTATTTCAAACAAAAGCAAAGAGTTAGCCACCCGTCACGATTAAACTAAATCTTCTAAAAAATTCATTTTTTGTCAAAAATTATAATAAAATGAGAATAAATCCAGTCAACATGGGTTGTTTACAGATGATGTTCCCAATTTTTTTTTAGTTTGGGGAACAAATTTAATTAGAAATAATGTTTGATAAAATCAATTTATTTTTCTATTTCGGAAAATAAACAAAACACAAATTGGCAAAAGTAATAAATATTTTTTTATTCTCTGATATACTATTTATTAAATATATAATTTTTTTAATGTTTTATGATAATTAAATATACATTATTTATTAAATACATATTCTCTTTATAACTGAAAAAAAATACATATTCTCT